CATATATATACTCCATACATATATACTCCACACCCCACATACACATCATAAATATACACACCACACACATACACATCATACATATACACACCACACACAAATACATCCCACACATGCACATACACAGCACACACACACTAGCAGGGATGATGGGAACTTGGCATTGCACTGTGCCTGGCTGAGGAATTCTGTGATTAATTTGTGTTCAAGGCCATTTCTGGCGAAATACTCATCAGATCAGATACCCACGTGGCTGCCCACACTGTGCACTCTATCCAGGTGAGTGTGACTGGGCAGGTGGGGAGGAGGCTGGGGATAGAGTGGCCTGGGGCCTGTGCTCGGGTGGTGTGGGCTTTTGAAATGCATGGAGACCTGGTCGCTTTTATTCCACTCCATTTATCTTGGCTTTGCCGAACCCCACTCAGGTGAAGGACTCCCTGAAGATAAGGTGTTGCCCTAAACGTTGAATTCTCCAGAGAGCTGGGCTGTCATATTACTGTTTATCAACCTAATGTTATGCTCATGGCCAACACCGCGTATTGGCTTGTTTCAGGCATGGGCCGTACACCCAGGTGGTCTGGGTTTGCCAGGTCCTCTGAGTGCTCATCTGTGAAATGGGTGTAATGACAATATTCCCCTTGGAGGCTGGTGAGGATTAAATTAGTCAATATTTGGAAAGAACTTATCATTATCACAGAAAATGTGGGGCATTTGAATAAGCAACGAGATCCATAGCATGAAGATTCCCCAATCATATGCAGGCAGGAAACATTTTTCAGGAGATGGAAAGGTGTTTACAAAGCACAGTGCAAGTGTGTGCAAGAAGCAAGTTGCCAAACAGTATGTATGCCATAAGTCCTGTTTTGGCAAGAAAAATAATATTAGACGGACATACATGTTTGTGTGTATATGCATAGAGACACTCCCAAAATCAAATGGTAAGAGGTGTTCTCTCTGAGATTAATCTTGATTTTAATTTGTTCTCTGATAATTTGATTTTTCCGATTTAACTGAACATGTATTACTTCTATAGCTATTTTTAAAGCACAGAAAATGAAATGGTTAATTACCAACCCTCCCACCCCCGAGACAGGCACTTCACATTTGAATCTGTGTCCTTTCAGCTTCTAAAACATACAAAGGTACTTCTATTTGAAAAAATAAAATAGCATTCTTTAACCTGTTTTGTAGCCTAGTCTTCCCTTCACGTGTGTGTTTGAAATTTTCAGACCTACAGAAAA